TTGCAGAGATAGGTTCTTGGACCTGTGCTATTTAAGATTTATATTAATGACCTTGAAGAAAATATAAAACCATTACTGATAACGTTTTCAGATGACACAAAAATGGGGTAACGGTACCTAAAAAAGACAAGTTACTGTTAAAAAACCCCAACCTAGATTACTTGATAAAATGGACAAAAGCAAACAAGAGGCATTTCAAATGTAAATCCTAGGAACAAATAATGCAGATGATATATACAGATATGGCAGGGAGGGGGGGCTGATCTTGCACTAGTTTTGCCTCAGGGAGTGGAAAGAAGGTATGCTTGCTTCTTGATCAGGCTATTTTCTGACGTGTTCATAGCTGATCAAGTTCTCTTTCAAGTGTGGTTTTAGAATGCCTTCAAAGAAATTAAGAAAAAAAAATAGAAATCATGAGGTGTTACGTGATTGAGGGAGATGTGGCTCCTTACTTAGCAGTCTATGACAAGTCCTAAATTGTATCCAAGAAAAAACAAAAGAAATAATTAACACCTCTCCCAAGCAACCTGCTGTTATACTGTGTTCCACAGAGAACATCAATAGAGGAACTAGGGATGTGGCTTTCCCACCCCCTTTCTGTCCTCACAGCCTAGCCCTACCCTGTCCCAATATAAAGTGGTTTTCTTACTGCTTTGGAAAGCAATAGCACAGCTCTGCTATGGGAACTTGGGAGGGATCCAGGACAGTAGGCTGTGCAGAAGAAAGAGTAAAGGGGAAGAAAGGAATGAATGGAGAGGGTGATGCTAGAGGCTGGGCAGGCAGCAGAGTGGAGTGGTAGAAACTAAAAGAGTGGCTGTTTGTCAAGCCAGGTTGAATTGAGCAGCTGCAGCTGGGTGAAGGTTGTCTTAGGAAGGATCAGCAGTATGTGGCAGCCAGACCCAGCTGTAGGGAAGAGTGAAGAGGTGATGCACCATGGGAGAGAGGTAGCAGAGCCTGCTGAGGGGCAATGGTTCTGTACAACTCCACAGCCCTTTCCTCTTCACTTTCCCTGATGTATCCTTTACTTGACCAGCAGAGTCAAATTGTGTGCATGTCAACAGATATGTTGTAACCTAAGATTTAAAGACAAACAAAACTCTTGGGTTGGAAGTGATATCTTTTATTAGACCAACTAAACAGTAGAAAAAAAATTCTTTGCAAGTGTCTGGGTCTAAACACCCTTCTTCAGGCTGAGGGGAATTCAAAGACTGTAAAAAGTCTTCCAGGTAGAAAAGAAACTTCATTTTGCATGGGGGATGGAGGGGTTGGAAGTTTATTCCCCTGGGTAACTCAGTGAAGATATCATATTTTAGCCGTTTGGAAATGTAAACTTCATTGCTAGCCAAAAAAGAGTATTTTTAAAACTCCCTGACTGACACTGGATACCTCCAGGGGTGAAGTTTGCCTAATTAACATGTCAGAGAGCAACTCTCTCACAAAAGGACTGAATTATCCAGGGGAATAAACTTCCAACCTCCCCATCCTCTGTGCAAAATTAAGTTTCTTTTCTACCTGGGAGACTTTTTACAATCTTTGAATTCTCCTCAGCCTGAAGAAGGGTGTTTGGGCCCAAAAGCCTGCAAAGAAAGAACATTTTTTGCTACTGTTTATTTGTTCTAATAAAAGAGATTGCCCTGAACTCAAGATTTTTGTTTGTTGACAGATGGGTATCCTAATTGCAAGCCTCCAAGGATACTCAGTGGGATGAACATGCCCTTCTTGGCTGGGGTATATGGCTCTGCTATCTAATTTGTCTATTTTGGGGAGAGGGCAGCTGTGAAATTGCACAGCAATTCACAAACGTGCCCCTAGCCAATACCTACATATACCTTTCCTCAGGGACATGGAGAATTTACAAAAGAAAATACTGTATCTGTTTGGTAGGCCTGTGTGAAACAGCAAGTATTTGCTTCAGATTTGGATTCAGCCAATTCGGAGGAACAGTGATTCAATTCGGTGATTTGAATCACTGTCCCGTTTCGATTCAGCTGAATCGGATCCAAAGATTCAGCACTGATTCGGCGATTCGGCCATAGACTAAACAGGCAGCTGTCCTCACCACTCTGGACACAGCTGCCTCCCACAGGTAAGCCTGTTGGGGTTGGGGACAGGGGGAGGGAAGGGGCGTGGGGGGCAGATCAACCCCTCCACAGCCAGGGAGGGATTGGGGCTGGGGCTGAGACAGGCTGCCCAGCTGGGGTAGGGGGGCATGGGACTCAGGGAAGGGGGTTCCTGCCACTGAGTACTACCGTGCGCCACCAGTCTATGGCTGAATCTCTGAATTGGCGCCAAATCTTTTCCAAATTGATTTGCAGGCTTCCAATTCAATTCGCACCGTTTAACTGGTCTCCTGATTCGATTTGGATTCAGAGATTTGGCCGCCGAATCGGGCTGAATCTCCTCCAAACTGAATCAGCTACTGAAGCTTCGCACAGCCCTACTGTTTGGTTTGGATGAAGTGCCCCTCCCCTCATCCCCTGCAGAGAGAGGCCTCTTATCTGTTGTGTGTTTGCCCTTACAAGCCAAACAGGGCTTTTATTCTATTTTTCAACTGGTCTTTTTCAGGATAAACAAGTGGAGAAGCACTTTAGATAATGACCCACATGCCTGTCTGTAAAAGGACAGGGCACTTTGTTTCTAGGCAAATAGTAAAAGCCCCAAAAAGAAGCAACATATGTGCATAACCTTATGGGGTGGCCTGTAGTTGCCATAGCAACAGCCACGCGTTTTGCAGTAGCCTTTCCCTGCAAAACATCAGTGTCATAGGGCATCTCCCTTTAATTGATTTAAAAGGAGCAGCTTGGTAGTCACAGGGCAGAGTATTACAGCAAGTATCACCGTCCCTTTTTTGTTGTCAAATCAATTCAGAGTTTATTTGTAAGGTAGGATGATGGAGTCCTGATCTTGCTGCCTGGGATGGGATGGGGAGATCTTGGCTGTGTTAAGGACCTGCTATGGCAACAGGGTAGTATTCTTGCCCCCCTACATCCCAAAAGGTAAAAGTCATTTCATAAGCTACAGCATAGTTACATCCCAGTGCAAGGAACTACACCTGACTGCATAGGGACCAGAGTCTTTTTTATTGTAGCTCTGCCCTTGTGGCAAAAAATGAACTTAACAAAAGTAGTTTAAGGCTCTGCCTACAATTTTGGGTCCTGCCTGGCCCCAGATATAAGTCAGAGTAATTGCAGGTCTATTCTTAACTCACATACTATACTCCATATCTCCTGGTGTCTCATGGGTATCAGACAACTGCTGCAGGGTGGCATGCTCCTGCCATGCCGACATGGATGGATAATATGCCCCTGATCCACATTCTTAACAAGAGGTGGGGAGCAGGGCCTGTGTTAAGGGCCCTTGCCACTAGTCCCAGGTAGGGCGATCTCAAGGCCCCAGAATGTCCTGAGTGGCAGTTACTGTCCTTTATATATCTCGTTGGTATAGAGAGGCCTCCAAGCAACTCAGAATCTACCCTGGATTTCCTCACCATGGGTCTGTGTCTGTTCCCAGTGTGGTCTATGTTCTGTCTATGAGCATGCACATTTTTAGTCCCTCCTACCTGCTGAGCAATCCTGCCCTTTGTAACCTTCTTCACAAGAGCACATCCCCTCCTGGCAGATGCCACGTCCGCTGCAGGCGTTCAAGCACCTGAGATGACCACAGTCTTCTCCCACATAGCCCTCCTGGCAGACACAGGTACCGTTGGCACATCTCCCCTTTCCAGAGCAGTCATTGGGGCATCTCAGTTCGCTACAGTCTTCTCCAGCATAACCTTCCTCACAGACACACTCCCCATCCATGCAAAGCCCTCGGGAACTGCAGTCTGTTGGACAGCGGACCTCTGAGCAGTCATCCCCACTGTAGTCATTGTCACAGATGCACTGGCCTTCCACGCACACGCCCCGGCTGGAGCAGCCCATGGGGCAGTGGGGCTCTGAGCAGTTCTTTCCAATCCAGCCTTCATTGCACATGCAGCTGCAAGATTCCAGACTGAAGTTCCCATGACCGCTGCAGTGAGGGATGTAATCCAGCTGCCCTGGAATGACAAAAATCAACCAATCAGATATCAGTAGGGACTGTACATCAATTATGTAGCTACTCTAGCTGCAACTACTATAGCCAAAATGTAATGACAGCAAATAATGCTGTAGCTTTCTACAACATTAGTGAGAAGTGAACAGGAAAGGGTCTTTAATGCTTATGGGTAGAAGAGTCTGATTAGACTGTGCATAATTTGCCAATATACCTCAGTCGTGACCTGCTGTGCCCTGGGAGAATTCCAGCTGTGAGCTTGTATCATTTGTGCTGATTTTCCCCAAGCTGTGCACTGGCTTTCCGATAAGCTTGAAAGATTCATTCAGAGCTAGGTGAGGATGCACTGAACATATATTTTTTTACTTATAATTATTGTATATTGGTTGGAGAATTCAGACCCAAGCCTTGGTTCAGACTGAAAGGGTTCTGGTACGACACATTCCATTCTGCCTGGGCTATGAAAGGACGGGATTTCTAGCTGAATGTTGGGAACCAGCATTTGTTTCTAGTTGTAGCTGACTGTCCCTGTGGTGATGGGCTTTGATGCTGTGACATAACTGGGGATAGAGCCCTGTTCACCTTTCATACCTGGAGGGCTACAAGACAGTGGATGCTAAGGCTCTGCATCTTCACCAGTGCAGAGGTCTGCTATTGCAGCTTCAGTGCAGGACTCAGGCCTGGGGGTTGTGGCATTTTTATCTATAGAAAACTGGCTTCTGGCTCACAACTGACTCTCCAACCTGCTCAAATCCTTTGTGAGGAAACAGGAGGAAACATCTCTTGTCCTAATAATTTAAAGCAAGGAGGCATCCGTTTGATGTTGCAAAGGAGTTTGGAGAACATTATGCAGAGGGATGATGGGCTAATGAGCAGAAGGGTTAGTGGGATGTTTAATGGTGACATAGCTGTGATGGTGATATAGTTGTGACATAGCTTCTTCAGGCCAATAGTATTTGGATGAAGTGAGCCATAGAGACAAGCTACCCACATTTTGCTGGGCATCAAAATATGAATCTTTGTGCAAAGAGTAGCAATAGTAGGCTGCTATTTCTATGTGGGCCAGCCACTAGAGGATGATGAAACCTACTTTTGCCAGTGGAAACCCACTTTTGGGACTCTCTGTTCACTTCTGGAGGAGAATATATTGTTGGTTACAGACCAATGCTGTGCTTCAATGCGTGAGGCAAGACATTGTTTTGTTTTGTAACACAGGCAAAACATATATTTTCCCTTATTCACATTCTCAGAGAGAGTTGAACGTTTGAGCTGCCAGAAAATTTTAGTCTGAAGCAGACCCCTGGGATAGAAAATTTCAACACAAGTGGTTAAAGCGTTGCAACGGTGTGAGCAATTGAATCAGAGTCTCATAACAGAAAGTGGTAGTCAACCTTAACTTTAGGTGGTTTGACCAGCTCTAAAATATATCTGGCTGATCAACAAACATATAAGGAAGTTAGTTATAAACTGTAGTATGCCTAACTGGGATTACATGTAATAAGTATTGCATACACTGTCTGTATCAGATGTGGTGTTAAAAATTGCCTTCCAATTCTGGTTAATTTGCCAAACATGAGAGGGGATGTTTGAAAAGTTGCTAGCACATGGGGGGTCTGTGGGATCTGGCCTCTGCTCTAAGGGACAGATGTTGATCTCATTTGGCTGTTATTAATTCAGAGTGACTGCAGTGCAGTTATTGGAATTACTTCAGACTTCTCTGGTATAGCTGAGATTGGACTGGAGATTTCATTGAGTGATGAATATTAAATAAGATCATTTACCTGTTTTACCAGTGTCCCAAATAGGCCTATTATTATTTTGAGCTGACGCCTTTTGTATTTTCTCTCTTGTATTTTGTTTACTGGCTTTTAACCCTTGTTATTCAGCATATCAATTTAAGGGCTGAATATTTTACTTTTAATTTTTACTTAATGCATTTACTAATATATACCATATGTGTGGATGTTAAGGATTTGGGGCTAGATCCTAAACTGGCATGAACTGTCATAGTTCCCTTTGGAATTACGCTGATTTATGACAAGTGCTGATCTGCTCCATATGTGTCATATATACCATATATTCCTTCTTAGTATGATATATATGTGTTTGTGCATTGCTGCCCCTTCATACACATGAGGCTATTTTTCCTCTCACTTACAATGCCTAGTAATGTAAATTTACCTCTGAATAGATGACATTTACATTGGTGTAATCAGAATAACACTAATATAAAGAAGTAGTAAGTAAATGATGCAACTCCCAACTAAGGTAATTCTGCCCAGTCCAATGGAGAATTACTCCAAAACAATCAATGGTAAAACTCTACCTGTGTAGGTTACACTGATTTAGGTTTAGTTTGTCCCTCTCCATTCTGGGTTAGTCATTTGCCAAAGGCGAGTAGCCTATTAGAAGCTTCCTAATCACTTAGTAATGAGGTACAGCAATAATGGCATTATGTGTGACTGATCTCAAATTAAGTGCACGTGTTGGTTTCTGATCCTAGGTATATAAAACTGAAGTGATACTGGGGTAAGTTTTCATCCATCTGAGACCTCTGATTTCAGTGGAGTTGCTTCTGATTTACTCTATTGTGTAACTAAGAGCTAGGTTAAGTTCAGCGTAACTTATAAATTACACCAGAGATAAAATCCCAGTTCCTGTTGTCCCCTGTCTACCCTGTCCACTGATAGTTTTCAGCATCTCACAAAGAGCATTAAGCACTATCCCAGGCTTGGATATTTTTCCCTTTGAGGAGTTTTCATAAGACCCATTAGAGGTTTCATTTTCCATGCTTCAGCATTTACAGAGTCCTGGACATGGGCTGTTATAGCTGGTCAAAGAGCAAGATGAAACTCTTTGTTGAAAACATTTCTCTTATGAAACTCCCTCAGATGTAAAGAAAAACATCAATGCATTGGCTCCTTGCTCTATTGAAATTCATTCGATAAACCAACCCTTCCTAACCCATCTTATTATAGCCACACACTATTTCCTTCATTTTGAAGAACAGCCTCACAGAGATGATGAACTGAACTGCGTCTTTTGAAAGAGTAACCCTAATGGAAGGTTTATAGAAAGCTCCACAAAGCTTGTGCATTATTATTCAGATGAAATACTGTGTTGATAGTTTTGTGCCTTCATTATAAAAGGTTTTGTTTATGCCTTTCATGGCAGCCAAAGTTATCTCCTGATTTCTTTTTTTTTTTTAACTGTGATTTTCATAACCATTCGGCCTTTCTAAGGCAAGGATAGAAAACTCATTTATCACTGATTCCCATGGTGCTATATTCAGCTAAGGATTACTGAAACAACCAGCAGATGTATCACTTCTCTCTGTCCCATGGAAAGTTACAGATCAGTCTAAAGGGTTGTTAAGGAGAAGAGGATATATGACTGGCTGGTTCATTATTTTGCTGGCACCCTGCTATTGTTTTTAACGTGGTGTTAGCTGTGGCTGTGAATGATTTACCAGTTAAGGAGCTTCAGCTCCAGTGGTATCAGAAGATGACGTTTTTAGTTGGAGTCACTGGGCATATCTACATGTGCATTTAGGTGTGCCTAAATTTAATGAGCATTAGTTTAATGAGCATTAAAGCAATTTAGGCTTGCACCTTAGCGCTGTGTGTGCAGACTGATGTGGGACTAAAGTTAGTCCCAAGTCAGCCCATACACAGCATTAATATACCATTATTAAGAGTGCGCACATGTAGACATGTGTCCTTAACGTGCCTTAAATTGGGCTAAAGTGTAGACGTACCCACTGTGGATTAATCCTGCTGCAGAGTTCAGTTCTTGTTTACCTTTATTACTGCTGATATAAGGGAAAAACTCTGGGATTTATAACAGAAGATAATGGCTAGATTGGTAGTTGGACTATGGTCCCAAAGCTGGAATTACGCTTCCCACTTTTTTCACCCACCCTCTGAAATGAGCTAGCCTAGCCATAGAAAACTGGGGCTGGAAGGGACCTTACAAGGTCATCTGTCCAGCCTCCTGCTTAAGGCAAGATCATCCCTGACTACACCATCACAGCCAAGTACCTATCTAATGTGCTTTTGAAAATTTCCAAGGACATAGGTCTTGGGTCCAGGATGTAGGGGTTAGATCCACTTTCTCCCTCACTAGGACAGGGCAGGAAAGGTGCAGAGGCTTGGCTCCCTTCTCCCCACATCTTGGTGGAGCACCTGAACTTGTGTGGGGAAGTGTGTTTCCTTACTGCTGACAAAAGATAACAGCAAAACATTGCTGCCTCTCCAAGAACAAGGAGGAAGCATGGGTAGAATTATGACCCAGGTATTTCTCTGCATCACGATACTGTTGAGTTACTTGAAGCTCAGACACCAGTCCTATACCTTACAATCAAATCTGGGCTGTAGATTTTCTACTTCCTGCACAAGAAGGTTGTTTCTCTAGGTCAGGTACAGTCAATGGAAGAGGTGTGGCAGCCTGGGATGGAAGCAGCAAAAGGACAGAAGGTGAGAGTCAAAGTCAGTGTGGAGCAGTACACTGATGGAAGGTTTTAGGCTCACTGGTGGAGCAGCGAAGGGGAAGGTCAGGGTATAAAGAGCAACAGAATTCAGCTTTCTTCTCACCTCCTCCAGTTCACTGCTGAGTGTACTGAAGAGTTTTAGGAAAAGCCTTCTTTTTCCCTGGCATATAAATTACATTCACACTGCACACCCATTGACTATCAAGTTGAAGCACTTCACCACAGACGCCTGTTTTCTGCCCAACGTGTACCTGGCACATAAAGAACACCCAGCATCATTTGCATCTGAATTTGTGAGCTGTCAGTGGACATGCCACCTGCTTCTTTCTAGCTGAATTTGGCTCAAGGACTGTTTTTTTTCATCTGTTGAGAAGATCTTTTCCCTCAAGTGTAACCGTGACCTTTGATATAATTTACCTGGTTTGGATGACCTAGAACAAGAGGACATAGAGACTGTCTCTTTTCCTACTGCAAGAAGGTGCTGCTATCACACTCCTTTATGGGTTTTATGAGGGCAGGGGAGCTTTAAAACCCACCCAGAGCTTCACAGGGACTTTGGTAGCAGAGGGGAGGAGGGAAGGTAGGGAGGGGCTGGGAGAATATGCTGAATCTGCATGCCCTGGCCTTTCCCCTCCCCATTCACCTTCTGGGTCATACAGGCTGCCTTTGGGTTCTGTAGATGTGTAGGGGCTTGTGGTACAGTACATTCATTCCTGATGGACTATCTGCATGTGAGGACCTGTAATCTGGGTTTTGCCTAACAAATCTGGGTCACTCTTGAGGCTGCAGATTAATATTACATCTTTTAGTATATAAACTGTGAAAGCACCATAAGCAAATACAGGATTTTTTCCATTAATAATCTAAACAACATCTCCAATTCTAGTGCATACTCCTTGCTTTCTTGAGCCCTTAGTCCCCAGGAAGAGCTAACAGCATCAGTTACTACCTGTGGCTGCATTTTCTTGGCAGCAATTGGAGTTGCATTGGTCCCGTAGCATGGAAACCTCCCTCTCCAGCATTTCAATTCTGTTCAGCAGGTCCTGCATGAGCTGGGAGGATGTGGAGCACTTGCACGCCTGCTTGGGGAGGTTTATTCTGTGCGTAAAGGTGACCTGGCTCTCGCTGTCTGAGGTCTGCTCCGTGTATTCCGTCATCCTGTCGTCTTCTGAACTCACCTCCTGGTCAGCTGAGGCCTCGAACAATGTTGAGCAGAGGCTGTCCAGGGGCACGTTAATGTTGTACACATGGTTGAAGACCATTGGTTTTTCTTTGATTGGTGGGCTGTAGTTGGCAAAGCTGCCTTCCTCATCCACTACCTGCCTCCTTATCCTCTCTGTTGTAACTTCTAGCCGACACTCAAAGGGCTTGAGGACTAATCCCAGGAATATCAAATTGAGACTGATAATCATGTTTCTCAGGACTATGTTTTCACTGTCAGTCCCCATTTTCTTCAGAAAGGAAAGAGACTTCTAAACCAGCCTTAGACAACGAAGCTGTGTGAGGACCTGGAGATATAGAACAAGAAGAACATGAATGATACTAGCTTTTAAATAGGACAACCATGCTGAGATCAGAAGAAGGATATTCAGTGCATCAAGGCACTAGACTCAGCATACACTTAACTGAGCATATTTCCAGTGATGTGATTACAGAGGGTATAATCAGCACAGAATTTGGCCCTCTTTTTGTAAGATGCTGAAGCTAGGATATTGCTTAGGGTCTTTTGATCTATCAGTTATTTTAATACCTGATTGGCTAAGTGATTTTATTTAGCCTATTTTCTTCTCTTGTTCACCTGTTTATAAGTTATTTTACTCTCACCTGTAAGCCACCCTGAGCCTTTGTTGGGAAAGGTGACATATAAATCAAATAAGTAAAAAACAAAAAACCTGTGTATTTTCAAGGAAAGGTCAAATGTAAACTGTCAGCTCTTTGGATAGTGCTATTCAGTGGCCCACTAGGGATGAAGAAAGATGAACAAATTAAAGGGTAGGGGACTTGCTACGTATTCTGCTTCTTTTGTGGCCTATCCTGTTCCAGGGTATGTGGAATCCGAATCACAGTGACTTAGCACCATTTCATTCAGGGGCAAGATGCTCCAAATTAGCTTTCAATTACTATGAGACCATAGTGGACAGGTGAAACAGTTACTATGGGGCAGGAGACAACAGAAAATCCCCCTCAGTTTTAACTCTGCATTCATTGTCTGTTTGTCCTTTTATAACTGGAGGCCTTAGGTTGTGACTGAAGGATCAAATTCTGGTTGTGTGAAATGTGAATCAGAGCAGAATTGGTTTTGCTATGCATTTGGCCAGCTCACTGTAGTCCATTTCCCTCCCTCCCCCACTCACCCATGTGGTCACCAAATTGTTTCATTAAGGGACTAGTTCAGTGGTTCTCAACCTTTTTAGGCACCTCTGACATACTCAAGACATCCCTTAGAAGATGCCAGCTGTCTTCACTTTCTTTACTACAGTTCTTCTGTTGAAAAGAATTCGGAAAGACCTTTCCTTCCTTTTTTGTGTCCTTCTGACAAAGTGTTTAGCTGAATTTGCAGATTCATTGGAATCTGACAGGCTGTGCTGCAGGCACTTCTGTTATGGCCTCAAACTTGCCACCACGGGGCTATCAACTGTGTGCCTTAGCACCCACACCGCCCCAGTCCTCTCTGACAGACCACAACTATGGCTTTCAGTTTGAAGTCTCTGGGCTTATCTTGTGAATCATGTTTGCACACCTAACAGTGCTAACATTGTGTGGCACCCTGGGCATCCTTGAAAGGATCTCAAGGCACCCCTGAAGGATCTCAAGGCACCCCGAGAGACACTACTTGCAGAGTAAGCATATTTCATCTGCTTTAGTCAGGTGATCAGTGCTTCACTTCATGAGCTAATATAAACCCCAGGATGAAACCCTGGCCTTCTGGAGTCCAGGGGAGCTTTGCTGTTAACCTCAGTGGGGCTAGAGCCCAAATGTTTAAGAGGGAATATACAAGTTTTGCATCTTTGTTGGTTGAGTTTCAGTGAAAGAGTTCATTTGGTAGCAGCTTACTCATACGTCTGGGACATAAAGTCCCATAATAGGATCTATTGTGGACTTAGTAACAAAATGAAATACAGGAAGAGAAAAAGGGTAAAAGCAGTAGAATAACTAGGGTAGCACAAGCAGGGCATCAGCCCTGGGTGTCAACTGTTAGGGGGTGCGAGGAATCTCCCTGGCTGGGAGTCTTTGCTCTGGCAGAGAAAGCCCTACACAGTTCCTGCGCAGCCAGACAAGCTGGGTAGTGCAGTGCTGCACCAATGTATCTGGGGGGCAAACTGAATGGTGCTTCACTCCACCCAGGGGAGCCTTTGCCAGAGTAGGCACAGCCCTGTTCCCACCATGTGAGTATAGGGGGGAGGGGTTAGTGAATGAGGCACCAGGATCTGCTCCTACGAAGTCTGTCCATGGGGCTGATGCCAGAGCTGACGCTGCCCATGCTAAGCAACAAGCCCAGGTAGGTAAGACCTCCTTCCTTGCCACTCCCAGGCTACTTCCTCCCCTCCCAGCCCCATCCCTCAGTCTACCATGGTTGGCATGCCCTCACGCCACCCACTCCTCCACTTAAGGCCCACAGTGAGCTTGCTATGCCTCTGGTTAAAATGCTTGGGTGATCACTGGTAATCACACTACCAATACAAGATCTCAGATGGCATTTTATGCCCCAGAAACTGAGCACTAGACTGCCAAGTTTAATTCAGTGGCTGTAGCAACAGCAGCTTTAGCCTTAAACACTATTACAATGATACTGAATGGTATTAAACTTGTTTAGGTTTATGTTCTGACCACACAAATACCTCCTGTTAAAGTCATTTCACCCCCCACCTGCAGCCTGGATTATGGGGTAGAGCATCTGTATTTGGAACAAGACAACTTTTCATCTTCTTATTGATTTGGAGCCTCCAGGGGGTGATCTAGACTTGAAGGGCCACATCTATACCAGGTGTAAAATCCCCAGTGTCATTGGAAGTTACCCAAGGGATGGATTTGGCTGCTGGGCTCTTGCTGAGACTGCTGCATGTTGACCAATAGTTAACTCCGACTGTTCTGCTTTGAAGAATTTCTGCGTAACATAGCAGAGAGGATAAAGTCAGTGGACAGGCAGGACTGTGACTGGGAGCCAAAGGACTCTCATTACTCCTCGTGCAGTGGAGGGATTGAATTGCACATCAGCTGCCAATCTGTTTGGCTTGTGTTTTGTTCTTGTTGGGTCATTAGTTTCTGGTTTATGTTGTATAATTGGAGTACAGTTTGGAGAAAGGGTAGGCTAGCAGTTAAAGCCACAGCTAGTGCAGTCTGTTTTCAGTTCTATGTAACTTCCCTGTGCCTCAGTTTGCTTGCTTGTAAAATGGGAAAGATCAGAAGGACTGACTGGAAACATTTTGTTTGAGTTCCCAAATCTTTTTCCAGGGAGCTCTAATCATAGGGTTTATTGTTATCGACCTAACCTCATAGGCAATTTCTAAGCCTTGAATTAATTAAAGCTGGTAAAATGCTTTGTGATCCTTGGTTTAAAGGGTGCAATAGAAATGCAAAGCAGTATTATATTTTTAGCATTGTCTCCTGCAGTAATTACGATGAATAGCAACTGAAGACTGGAATTATGGGGATCAAATAGAGCTCAGGACTTCTCAGGATTGTGGTCCAGTAATTTTATATTAAAAGGATAATATTTTGCACTATGCTGAAGTGATTTAGCTGTCTCAGTCCCACTGAAAATTAATGGGACTTAAATACCTAAGTCATTTAAGCACTTTTGAAAATGTTTCACCTCAAATCCCCAGTCTGCTCTTTTTTTCCTGCCCTCCACCATCAAGGCATGAAAAACACAAGCCACATAATTAGAATACACCATTACATGTGCCCTAAAGCATCATAAAATACACAATGCAAAAAGCAAACAATTAAAAATCTCAGAATAGCAACATCAAGAAAGAAAAATATTTTAAGGGCAACCACACATATCCACCCGAGAGCCAGGAGACAGTCCTCTGAGTATGCAAGTTTAATTAATTAATGACTTAATAAAAGCATATTTTTGTGCTTAGCCTTCAAAGGGGGGCTGGAGGGATCACAGGAATGCAGGGTTATAATTAATGCCAGCAAAAAAAGGCAGAGGTTAAAATATCATATTAAATCAATTTCTACTAGGATGAGACTCTCTAGGGTGAGGAGGTGACCCCACATCCGCTTACTAATTGTGATGCCTGCTGAAGGATCTGGTGCTGGCCACTACTGGCAGTAGGGCCCTGGAGCAGGTGGGCTGTGGGTCTGATTCTATTTGGTTAATTCTGTGTTCTTTGTGCAGCCCTTTCCACTTGAGTATTTGAAAACATTTTGCCAGTGTTAATGATTTATTCCATGAATCTTGCTTTCCCTTGAGGTAGATATTTTACCCCTTTTAAAAGGAGGGAACTGTGGCACAGAGTAGTGAAGGACAAACATTTCCAACATGGCTGACTACCCTTAGGCTCCTAAATCTCCATGCAGATGTCAAATCTGGATTTTGGAGCTTAAGGTTAGGTATTAGTTTGGAAGATGTTGGCTCCAGGGAGTTACCTATAGGCCAGAGAATGTGTTTGTAGCAGAAGCAGAAACAGATCCTAGAGCCTAGTTTCCCTCACCTGTGCCTTAGGGCCTTGTTACACATTAAGTTTAGGCAGCTCCTGGAGCTCTTAACCCCTGGATTGTCCATACTTTAACACCTGAAACTAGTTTTAAGCACACTTTAGGCAGCTTAAAGTTACTCCATTCCAGGACAGGTTTATGTCTGATTTGTGTTACCCAGCAAATTATAAAAGGTTTTGCTAATGTGTGACCACTCCCCACAGATGAACCACCCAAATTGCAGCTCTCCAGCATCCCAGGATGTAGTGCCCTCTTCCCAAACCTTCTGCTCTTTGTGGACAAACTATCAACCCCTTTGGTACTGAACCAACTCCCCCTCCAACACCCAGGAGTGCAGTCTTGTGAAAAGAGCCTGCAGAGCACATGCCAGCTAGCCAGGTTGCAGGGCATGGATGGGTCCAGGAATGGGGTCTAGGTGAGGTGGCAAGGAACAAGGTAGGCAGCTGGATTAGGCCCCCATGAACTGGGGCTTCCTTCCCAGGGCAGGGGCAGAGTAGCTCCCCCAAAAGCATCTTCCCTTACCACTCCCACCTCCCAGCCACCTGAGGAAACATGACCAGCACCCTGCACACCCCAATCCCAAATCCTAATTTATTAAAACATGAGACCTCCTTTAATTTACTCCTCCTTATTTCTTTTTAAATTAGTATTTTTTTTACTTCTTTTTATTTTACCCTTCAGTGGGCATGTCTACATGTTCATTAATGTGCTATAATTACAGCACATTAAGTTTAGTACCTGTAATAACAGGTACTAACTTAATGCGCTTTAATCGGAGCTGTTGCACATTAGCATAGATGAACACTTTCTGTGTGATGCTCAGTACCTGTTGGAC